AATGTCAAGTCTGGATCCAATGTTGTCAAGTCTCAAGTCACAACTCTGTCTCTCTCTGTCGTAGTCTGAGAAGTCAGGTGGCGAGAGGGTGAGAAGAGAAGGTGGACTTAGAAGAGGAAGAAGAAGAACTCTCTCTCTCTCTCTGTGTTCAGTATTAACCTGTGAAGCTGGCGCCTTGATGCAGGTACCACGAAGATGGAGCTGGAGCGATGGCGCCACAGGTAAGTAACACTGGCCTCCACCAGTCTCTCTCCCACTTTGCGATCTACCACCTACCAGTGCCCAGCGCTGAAGACTACAGCTACAGCTATGGCGCCCAACGCCGAAGACTACAGCTAGCGCTACCATTACTGCCTAGCGCTGAAGACTACTGCAGCGCTCCTCCTGAGTGCTGCGGCTGATATCCTGAAGACTAGCTCGTGCCTACTGAACTACCTACCCGTGAAGTGCATGGGAACTTCCTATGTACTACGGGTGTGCCTTCTGAGCCTGCCGAAGGGAGGCAGGGGCTGCAGCTGCAGCTCCTGCTCAAACTCGTGAGGAACAGGCTATTTCTGGCTTGTTCCGCATCCCTGTTTACGTGCCTRAGTCTTAGGGGCCGGTCGAAACAATGAGGGCCTGAAAATGGCCCTCCGTTTCAGGCTGAAAACTCTGGGTCTGAAAAGACCCAGAAATAGGCTGAAACGGGGTAGGGCCTGCAGGCCCTCGTTTTTCAGCATCCAGGCTGTGAAATGAACGGGGCCTGTAAGCCCTAAGTTTTAGGCTTTTAGGCTGAATGTCCGGGACGGGCCCTGCAGGGCCCGTGTGGCTACGCAGTATGCCACCCCCCCCCCTCCTTGAAGAACCGAGCTTACCTGCGAGGGCGAATCTATCTGTCTGAGGGAGGGACCACAGTCCGGGTGGGAGGGGCTGGTCGTGAAGCTTCCTGAGCTAACCTGCGCTTTTTATAATGCGCGTAGATCAGCGGTGCGGATGCTTTCAAATCTGCGCCTGAAATCCACCGAGTGTCGTTGCGATCGCATGCGTTGAATGTGACTTTGTACTGCCGCGGCTTGCTGCCGTACTTGCGATCGGAGATGACGCGGTCAACTTTGTGATGGTCATCCATAGAAGGAGGGTCCTGCGATCATCGGTCCGGAAAGTCGTCGCTCTTGGCTGGTGTGTATGTTGCCAGCTTCGAGGCGTGGAAGACCGGATGGACCGTCAGATGCTCTGGAATGTCAATCACAAATGAAGGGTCATCGGGCTCATCGCCAGCGGCTGCTGTCACAGACCAAGGTCCAAACCACTTGGGAAGCAGTTTGCGTGAAACATCCTGTTCCAGTGCATGCGTGAAACATCGTGTTCCAGTGCAAACTCTTCCGCGGAGACCCAAACCAGACCACCGGCGCGGACGGGACATGGTACGTGACGCCTGTTGGCTTGCTGCTGCATGCGGACTTGAGCATTTTGCATATTTGCACGGGCTTGAGTCAACAATTCCCTGTACTTCCAGACGGTAGCGGGAGAGCAGGCAGCGTCGATGTCGGTTGGTCGAGGGAGGAGAAGATCTGCGAAGATCCGACTTTTCCGTCCACGGTGGTGCAACTCGAATGGAGTCACGCCGATCGCCGGATGCACCGAAGCGTTGTAGGTGAACTCGATGTCGGGGAGGCGGTCAACCCAATCTTTCTGGTCCGGACGGATGAGCGTACGAAGCATCATTTGAGCGGCTTGATGTGCCCGCTCCGTCTGCCCGTCTGTCTGAGGATGTCGAGCCGAACTTGGTTTCATTGTTGTGCCGGACTCCTGCATGAGAGCAGTCCAAAACGCCGACATGAAACGAGTGTTGCAGTCGCTGACAATGTCTTCTGGTACACCGTGGCCACAAATCCAATTAGTGGGTACAACCGTGAGGATGCCGTCGTGCTCGAGCCGGTCGCGAGGAAATGGACCGGTGACGTCCATGGCAATGGAGAGATCGGGTTTTCGAGGGATAGGCATCGGGTGTAACTCGCCGTAGGGATTGCGGTTGCGGGGCATGCTGCGTCGGCAAACTTCGCAAGAGTCGCAATACCGAGTGACATCGGTAATGAGGTCGGACCATCGGAATCGCTCTCGAAGCCGTGCAATAGTGCGGTTGACTCCGAAATGGCCAGCGAGTCATGAATCATGATACTCGTCGAGGAAGCGAGTCCGAAGACGACGGTGGAGTGGGACACATAGTAAGTCTTTGCCTCTCGAGTGGAGGAGCAAGTACCCGTTGACAATGCGGTAATGGCTGGTCGACGGGTGATCCGAAGATAGTTGTGCATAGAGCGTGCCGAAGTCCGGATCAGACTCATATGCCCGGATGAAGTGTCGCCGAAGCTCCTCGTCGAATGCGAAGGCATGATGTGTCATAGCGCAAAGATCTGGTCTTCGCGAGAGTGCATCTGCTGCGCGATTTGAGAGGCCGGGTAGATGTTTCGGTGCGAAGTCAAACTGGTCGATGAAGTATATCCATCGTTCGATCGTGCTGCTCACCGTATCCTGCGTCTTGTAGTAGGTCAATTGATTGTTGTTCGTAACCCATGTGAACCTACGACGCCCAAGGAGGAAGTGCYGCCATCGCTTGAGAGCCATGACGAACGGGAGTAGCTCCTTCTTCCTTGCATCATCAAGCGAGTTGATGGRAGGCACTTTGTGGCTGAAATACTCCACAGGGTATCAGTCGTCGCCGTCGTGCTGTTCCAAGACTGCCCCAATGCCATAGCCGGAAGCGTTCGTAGTCACTCTCGTCGGCAAGGTGGGGACATAGATGCTAAGTGCTTGGAATGACCGGCGTGCGTCGTCATCGAATACGAATGGCACCTTTGGCAACCGTAACCTCGTCATAGGTGCAGCAATCCTGGAGTATCCGGTGATGAATCGTTGATAGTAGCCCGCCAATCCCATGAATGAACGAACGTCCGTGCTGTTGGTGGGCTCGGGCCATACTTGTAGGGCCTCGATCTTGTCCGCGAGCGGACGGATGCCTTGCGGCGTCACATAATGGCCCACGTACTCTAGCTTCTGCCGTGCGAATTCACACTTGTCGCGGTCGGCTTTGTACTTGGCCTGTCGTAGCCGCTCCAAAACGGTGCGCAGGTGTTCCACATGCTCCTCCAAACTCCGGCTGTACACCAGGATGTCGTCGAGATAGATAAGCACGTATCGATCCAGCATGTGTCGGAACTCCGTTGTCATAGCCGCTTGGAAAGTGGTCGGGGCATTTGTAAGGCCAAATGGCATAACCAGCCATTCGAAATATCCATACCGTGTCTTGAATGCGGTCTTGTAATGGTCCTCCTTGCGAAGCTCGAGTTGGTGGTACCCTGACGTGAGATCAAGCTTCAAGAAAAACTGGGCGCCGCCCAATCGCTCGAGAAGATCATCGATGCGTGGGAGAGGGTCGGCGTTCCTGATCGTCTGCGCGTTGAGCTTGCGATAATCGATGCACAACCGCAGGTCCTTGTTCTTCTTCCGGACGAAGAGAACAGGAGTACCGTATGGCAATGAGCTAGGCCGAATCCAGCCGTTCTCTAGAAGGTCGTCGAGTTGTGCGCGGAGCACACTTAATTCTTCCTCGCTCATTCGGTATATGCAACCCTGCGGAGGTACGGCCCCGTCCTCGAGGATGATCTCGTGGCGGATGGGTCGATCCGGTACTACTCCGTGCGGGCCTTTGAACACGTTGTTATAGGCGTCGAGAAGCTCGGTGATACAAGGATCCGAAGGCGAGTCCGTCGATGAAGCGTCATGGGGCGGGAGGGCGTGGAGAAAACACACCCCCATCTCCTTGATGTCATCTCTGATGATGGAAGCTCGCATGCTTGCGGCGGCTACCACGTGGCAGCTGATCGAAGGACGAGGAAGAGGCACCGTGCATGGAACTAATACTCCGTTCCGATCACGAACGTGAACGGTGCGGTTGAAGAAGTTCATCGGGTGATCCTCGCTTCGCAGCCATGACATGCCCAAGATCATGTCGAATTTGGTGTCCAGAATGTCAAAGGACACCGCCTCACTTGCGTGAGGGGCAAAGTGCACTGGGAGGGCGTCAATGCACCGGTCGATGGACTTGTGCGTATGACCGTCTGCTAGAGTGACTTACGTAGGTTGGGACTTCCTCCGGACACGTGGGCCAAGGCCGACGCGTACCATGAAGTCCTGGCTGATGTAGTTGCGAGATGCTCCGCAATCGATCAAGGCACTGCAGGTCGCCTCTCCGATCTGAATGCGTATGTATAGCAATGGTGCGTCGATGTCGTCGTACCGTTGCGTCTTGAACTCGCGGTCGATCTTCGCGATGTAAACGTGAAGGTCAACAACCTCTACTCCGATGTCCATCAACGAAGCTGGTACTGCAGTGTGCAAGTAGTCCCGCAATTGTGTCATAAGCACGCTGCAATGCGGTTTCGGCAATCGTCCGGTCGAGGGAACGGGCATCCACTGGAAGTCCGTGAACGTCAACAGGTCGAGCTCATCAAATCTTGACCATGACGTCGAATCCCCGACGACAGATTGCGGCGAAGCTGCCGAATCGGTTGCCGATGGTGATGAAACCGTGCATGCGGTGGACTGTTGCACGCGGAGCGGTTGGTCCAGCGGTGGAACCAAGTGGACAGCATAATCCTCGTAAGTATACCGAGGACTTGCGACATTCGCATCCTCCCCAGATGTGCAGGAGGCCGCTAGCAAGGGGGTCGAATCTGGCGGAGTAGAAGGTGGAGTCGCCTCACCTTCCGTGGAGCTAAGTTTCTTGAGCTGAGGCGGGGTCGCACATCCTCCTTGCCCTGATCTTGGCACAAGGAGGTCTTGTGCTTGGTGCTGTTGCACCA